CAGAGAGCCGTGACAGGATCGAGAAGTGAGCGAGCGCTGGTATGTGTTCGCTCACTTCCCGATCTACTGAGCCGACCTGTGACAGTCTCATTGTCACAGGTCGGCTAGAACTATGAGGCGAGTGGAAAGCATTTGCCTCATAGTTCTCCTTTAAAGAAGGATGATGGTGTTCTAAAAAGAAACTTGTCCTGAGAAATGATGGGGGCTGCTGTTGCAGACTCCCTATTTAGATAATACAAGATTCCTGACTGGCATATTGATCCATAGATCTCAGTCCTTTCTAGGTCAATAAACAAAGAACATTATGTAAATTATTAGTTTGGACTTCACTTGCTGCATGCATGTTTCTGGTCCGTCAATCATGAAGTATTATCAATTAGTATTTTCAGAACAATTCTTGGCAGCCTCCATATTTCCTCCATTCTCAGAGGCAGATGGATAGTTTACACAGTGGGGTTTGCTAGGCAGTGGATTGGCAGATTAAAAAAAATGGGTCTAAGCAGGTTGGCAAGTTGACAGTTAGTGAAGTAAACATCTTCAGTGAAAGGTATTTTTGTGTTCCCCATCCCCCCACATACGTACCTGTAATTGCTGGCACCGCCACCAGTTTTCGAAGCGATCCTCCCGTAATCCAAACTTCCTGTTGCTGGGGGAGGATATTGAGGGCAGAGGAGGCTCCTTCTGCTGTCAATCAGCCTTTAGGAAGGAGAGCAAGGGCCTGCCGCAGGGCAGTGTGCGTCTATGGATGCACACAGCCACTGCAGAAATACATGCACGGGTGCCTTCATAGCAGCCGCTTAGCTAATGGCGGCACCAGTGCAGGGGATGGGGGAATGGGGGGGCAGTAAAAAAAAAAAAAAAAATGTAAGCTTTAAATATCGCTTTCCATTTCAATATCCTCTTGGCCCATTCACACTACATCCAGATCATCTCCAGACCAGTTTGTTTACGGACCCAAAATGCACCCTGATGTATCCCTATGCTCTTTCTGGCCTCTGTTCATAGCAGCACAGTCTGTTCCAGACCAGAAAAATACTGCACGTCTCATTTTGTCTGGTCTGGAATGAGTTAAAATATATTGGGTGGAATTGATCAAAACTGGAGCAGACAGAATCTGGAACAATTGCCCATGGCAACCAATCAGCATCTCTCGTCAGTCTGCTCAGGTAAGATTTGAAAACGAGACAGAGAAGCTGATTGGTTGGAGTACAAATCTGCTCCAGTTTTGATAATTTCCCCCCTTGTGTGCATAGTTTTTGTGACAGGTTTACTTTAACAGGGGTTGGAAGCAAAAGAGTCGCTAGACAGATTCATAATATTTTACATATAATATTGTTTAAAGATTTTAAATTGCTTAGAATTGTATTTCAATTATAACCTTTAAGGCCAGTTTACACTAGCCTGTCTGCTAAAATGCTCCATTTTAGGGTACAGGCTAGTGCGTTGTGGTAGCTTTGACAGTGGGCTGTGTATCGCACACCACCCAAGCTGCCACCATTTTACAATTATTTTTTATTTTTTTTTAACCTGGTAGTATACAATGTGTTTATTCCATTCAGGTCCCCGTGCGGTGCGACTGCTGTGGGGCGATCTGCAGTGGCATCCAGTGCGCCGTGATAAAATGTAGCATGCTTGCTTTTTTTCACAGCACACCACCCATCACACCCGTGTTGTGGTGTGAATGGGACACAATTGTTTTCTGTGTGTCCTTACGGTAACCTGTGTTCATTCAATGCAGGTCACTACAATGTGTGAACAGGCAAGTAAATAAAAGATAAACCCAAGATGTACAGTAACTAATGTTACAAATGGCTTTTGTTTAAAATTAATTTTTTTAATAATTCACATATGACAGCAACACCCCATTTCTAGCAACCATTTCTCCAGTGTCCTGCTGATGCTTCTATAGTCATTGTGCAGGCTTCATTCACACGGACCCATTTTAATGTACATGTGTTTTTATTAAGATCATATGAATAAAAATTCACCCACATTATAATGCATATGAAATAGATAGTCAACTGCTTTCTCAAGAAACATGTCAGTTTTGTGACATTTTGTAAACCATATTGCCATGAAACTGAAGATGTCATACAAAGGAACTGTCTTAGGGCTTGTTCACACCAAGCGCGTTCCAGGAGCAGAGCAGTTACAGAGCGGATCAAAACTGTGTTCAATGTATTCCAATGGTATTTTGAGCTCTAGTTCACACCGCAGCGTTCAGTTCCAGAGCATGTAAAAAAACTGCAGCAAGCCCTATTTTTCCTGCTCTGGAACGCATGCAAACACTTCAAAAACGCACTGGAATGCACAAAGCTTCAGTACAGCGCTGCATGACGGAATAAATGTCAGTTAAAGTACCGCAGCGCTGAATACTGAAAAATGGCCTGGATGGGAAGGGGGTTTAACACCGCGGATGTCAACTGGTTAAACAATTATTATTATTTTTTTACATAACCGGCCCTGAACCCCTGTAAAACGCAGTGCACTGCGTGTGCAGAAACTCATGCAGATGTGGTCTGCATTTGGTGTGAACAAGCCCTTAAGAGAAGAGGACAAACTGGATGTAACCAGAAATCTTGTCAGACAGTAGCTTTTTAAATCTGGTGCTAAAATGTGCTAGCTGTAGCCATGTTGAGGGGAATTTATCAAAACTAGAGCAGACAAAATCTGGAGCAGCTGTGCATGGCAGCCAATCAGCCTCTCTCTTTCATTTTCAAATCTTAACTGAACAAACTGAAGAGAGAAGCTGATTGGTTGCCATGTACAGCTGCTCCAGATTTTCTCTGCTCCAGTTTTGATAAATTCCACTCATTGTATCTGATATGAATACATCTGCTACAACACCTGTGCACTGTTATATAATAGCAAATCTATTTTCAAGACATTATACATTTTTGTTTAAAAAGTGGATGTTTGTTTATTAAGGGGATATGCATAAAAAATGTTTTTCATTCATTTATTGTTGATGACATATTAAAGAAAACAAAAAGACACTTTATTTAAAGTGTATGTGAAGCCCAAACTTTTTTTTTCTTCTATTCTGTTTAGAATTGTTAAAATACTTATTAGTTTATTTTTTGCCATTAATTTCCTTTCACTTTCTGTACTGTCAACACAACAGGGAATAAGAGTCAATCGCCCCAAAGTGAAGAGAATTACCATTTTAGAAATTTTTCACCAAAACATTTGTCCTCATGGATTACGGTCGCCTTTTGCTCTAATGACAACTCTAAAATTTTGCAGCTCCCCTTACTTTTTTTGTTTGTTAGTGACTGATCAAAAAGTGAAATTTGAGGGGTGGATCTTCCCTTTCATACTCTATCCAAAACTATACAAGTTTTGCCTTTACGTAGACTTTTAAAAGCAGTATAAACTAGGGCCGCAACTAACGATTATTTTCATAATCGATTATTTGGCAGTGTTATTTTTTCGATTAATCGGATAAAAAATACCAACAGTTTTTAGTGTTACAAACATACAGTTTACTTCAGAATAAAACGGTATGCACATTTTTTTGCACTCGTACCGCACTGGAACACATGACATTGCAGTAACGCGCATTCCAATGCAGGTGATCACACTGCGGGCAGCAGGGGTGTTTGCGATGCCATTGCAATAAATGGCACCACAACGCACGTATTGCCACATATATAAATGTAAATATTAATATATATTAAATATTTATTATAAAAGCCCGGTCATCAGTTTAGCGTTTACCATGAATATTGGCCCGAGAATTATTACTCTCTGAATCCGATGCATGCGGCGATACCTGACGTGTACCGCAATCTTTTTTTTTTTTTTTTTGCGTAGGTGCACCTTTACAGCTGAGTGATACACAAATAAAATACATTTTTAATAGTTAGGTACTTGAATGCATTTTTAAAATAAAACCCCTGAGTATAGTGTCACTTTAATCACAATCAGTGAAGATTTGTAAATTAATGTTGGCTATTTAAAATTATTTTACAAGAATAAAAAAAAAAAAAATGGGAGCTGCCATTGTTGGACTGTGCTTGAAAGTACATGCTCAGAGCTGAAATTTTAATCCTGGCCTAACTACCAAGTGACTAATTGAACACACCCGCAGCCAGCAAGAACGTCAGCATCCAAACTCCCTTACTGAATGCTTTTTTCCATGTTGTGAACCCAGGATCACAATCTCTTAGCATGTATCTTTATAGACAAGTTTGCATAGCTGGGTTGGTAGAGCTGCAGACACCGTGGGGATCAGAAGCTTAAAAGTAAACGTACCTGCTGACAGCGCATGCTCCCAGCTTTTTTTACTTATTTCCCCAGTTTTACTGTGCCCACAGGCTCACTTTTAAGTTCCACTCCAGCTTTTACTGCTTTCTGTTCGTTGTTAAATGTACCTTTTAACGTATTGTAGAAGATATTTGAATACATAGGCAATTGGATCTGAAAGGGTTGAGGCACAAAGAGGGGAAATTGGAGTAAACTCAATCTGGAGAAGCTACTCATGACGAGTCACATTTTAGCTTTCATTTTAAAAGCTGAAGACAGAAGCTGATTTGTTACTGTACACAGCTGTTCCAGATTCTGTCTGCTCCAGTGTTAGTAAATTTTTCCCATAGTGTTTGCATAATGACTTCTTTACTAGTTCCTGTGCAGTATTTTGTCCTAAACAGTGACATGAATTGCACATATTTACTGGAATGTGATTTTTGTTAGGTCATTTTGGTGCCAAACTGCTCCGATTTGTGATCCCAGCTTATACTAATCAGGGTTTGAATGCCTTCTTTTCCTGCTGGTTCCAATTTTACTTGCTTGGCTCTGGTACAGGTTTGCACGGCTTTCTTTCTTTTATTCCATTAACTCTGTGCATTGTCTATTTTAATCCATGTTTATGTTTAGTGATGTCTTATGGTGTTAGGTACAGCACTTTTTATTATATAGAAGTATGAAAGACTATTTTCTGAAACTAAAGTAACAGATTCTTATGTTCATTCATGTAACCTTTTCTGTTTCTTTTACAGCATTGTTACTGATGTTGCGGTTGGTGTTAAGGTATGAATACGTTTTTTTTTTCTCTAATTTTATATTGAATGTCTAAATTCTGGATATATATGGAAAATAAATGAAATATGTGAAAAGGTTTCTGCCTGTTTCAGCTAAAAAGTAGCCTGGTGTTTTTGTCCTTTTTTTATTAAGCAACAAGTAAGTTTAATTTCCTGTGGCTCTTAAATAACATGGAGTTAAACTAAAGTTGTCCACATGTTAGTCTGCAGCGCACCTAGCGTGTGGTACCATGCTCTAGGTGTGTTGACTTGCCATCCGTTTGCACCTTTTGGCAGCTGTGCATTGCAGCAACACTGTTGCTGTTGTGGTAAAAAAAAAAGTAGCTCATGCAACACACAATATTGTCGTACAGTGCGCTGCGCTGGAACACGTGGCTGCCAGAAGGATCATTGTGGTGCCATTCAGTTTAATGGCAGCGCATTGCTCCTGGCCCGCATGCTAGGTGTGCTGTATAAGGCTGGGCACACACCTTACAACCATCACAAGACTTTTGTCTTGCGATGGTTGTAAGGTACTTAAAAAAAACGTACGATCTGCCTATCTAGCATAGGCAGATCGTACTTGCGATGATCGCAAGCCACGCCCCCTGAGGGGCGGGCTTCCGATGACCGCAATGCCGAACGGGCAGTGTGTGCTTGCGCACACCGGCCCGTCCGGCTTTTATCTTACAAACATGCTACACACCCGCCGAACATCGTACGATGCTCAGCGGGTTTGCAAACATGTTCGTAAGTTTAAAGTCGTGCGACCTTGCAGTAGTAGAGGTCGCACGGCTTTCACACACCTTACGATAATCGTACGGTCGCGGGATTTCCCACGATTATCGTAAGGTGTGTGGGGACCTTAAGAGTGTGTTCTAATCACACAGTACCGTCTGTTTAGCACAATGCTATGGTGTGGACAGGCCCCAAGTATAATTTGAATGATTGGTTAGCTGACATTAGTAAGAATGCACATTCTGCAGTACTAGTTAACATATATTGTTTACCTGTCTTGTTCTCAAAAATATACTGCTTTTTTCTTATCAGAATTTGTTAGTCCCTACCAACGGCTGCCTCCCATTTGCACTTGAGATTTTTGCACCATTTTTTTTTTTTTGTCGTTTGCATTCACTAATTAGGGTTAGTTACCTGATCGCTTAGTTTCCAGGAATCTTCCAGGACAACCAGAAACAGGCCAAGCAGGCCCAATATTAACATAAAATTACAAGAGAGGAAGCATGTGTTGTCTTCAAAGATTCCTACACACGAAGCTACCAGGTAACTAACCCCAATTTGTGCCTGTCCTTTTCAAGGACATTGGACATCAGAGAGGAGCCATGAGAGAGACAACCACACCAAAACTAGAAATAAGTATTTCCTTTACCTTAAATACACTAAAACAGAGCTGTGATGCAAGTGACCCGGGGGCTGTATGTGGCCTACAGGACCCTCTTACAAGGTAGAAAATAGATCTCCCACAAGGTCTTCTATTACACGTGGAAGGCTTATTTCGCTTGGTATAAAGCAAGGAATTTCTATTCCAGGAAATACTCTGTGGAATCCATCTAATCTTCCTTTTTTTTCTGCTTTGGATAGAGTGGAGAAGAAATTCAGCACATTAGGATTTTATTGCTGTTTGTGTCTCCTGGTGACCGTTATCACTGAAAGTGGGGGGAAAAAAATCACAAATTATGACCTGGTGACCAGGACAGGAATAGATGGGAACTCTTCCAATGGAAGACCCTGCTGATCACCAGGGATTTCCTCTCCTTTCCCGTTGTGGCTATCAGACAGGAAGAGAAATCTCCAGAATGGGACACAGGGGGTCAGAGGTTACTCTATCCAAAACTTCGAAAATAAAACGTTTTGGTTTCAGTTCTACTTTAAATTATGACCCTAAAATGATTCATTCTAATCTAATGTGTGTAGTGATTACCTAGTTTAGTGGGATTTTTTATTAATGTGTGTGCACATCCCATTTTGTGTCCATACATTGTGTCTGGAATTCCTTTGAAGTATATCCACTCCGCCCCATCCCAAAATGCAGACTTTGACACAGTCATGTGGGGGGCAAGGGTTTTGCATACAGCTATGCATATATAGACTTGAAAGGTCTGTATGTACATATCCTCTTTCAATGGACTTTAGGCAGCACATGAAGGACAAAACATAAAGCAAATGTTATATTCTGACAGCTTGTGCTCTTGCTACTGCTGGTTAATCTAATCTCCATTTGATAAATGTTTTCTAAATGTCTGAACACTTTGCATATTTAAAGAATTGTGTTTTTGTTTTTTATAGAGAGGTTCTGACGAACTGCTGTCGGGAAGTGTTCTTAATGGTCCAAGCACTAACTTAAACACCATAGTTGTGACTGGTAAGTCCTTTCCACAGATGTTGTATATAACAAATTTACCTTGCATGTGTGAGCAGCAATCGAACCTCAGGTTTTAGCTCAAGGGTTCCACAATCAAAGTAAACGTTTAAAAAAAATATTTTTATTTTTTAAAGGAATTTCTTTTCCATCGAAGGACACCGGAAGTATTTTCCTACAGGCCGTATTGCTGCATACAGGAGGATTGGACACGGGCAAACAAAACTGTAGGTCAGCTAAGGATAACCCCATCTAATAACTGCATGGCTGTCGGTTTTGCTGTGAAAGAGGTTGATGCCTCGGGACTAAGCCCTGACATCACCCCCTGCTTACAGTGTCACTGTTGCAAAATGTCTGGTTCCGGACAGCTATGAGCATCCTTGAAATCTGTTGCCTTCTGCTGCTAGAGTCTGTTTCGTCATAAGTCCTCTTTAGCTATTTCTGTGACTGGTTCCTCTGCCCTTTTGGCTATGTTTTTTTAATACAGCCATGCAAGATTTTATAGCTGAAATCACCCAGTTATTTGCTGACTGACCGCAGAGGACACTCTAAAACTAGAGGATCACTCTGTTGCTTCTAGAAGTTCTGTTTCTACTCTTGGGCCTTTGGGGTCCCTAAGGCTGCAAAGACTCTTCATTGCACCCTGTTCCAACTCTCTCCCTATGGAGGTTTAAAAAAACATCCCGACATACTGTTTGCTCAGCCCAAGTGCCTTTTAGCCTTGTACTTGTTCGGTGAGGGTTTTGTACAAAAGTAGTCCATCCCTGCTGTGGGTCTGATGGCATTCTACCTCAAAAAAGACTACTATACTAGTGGAGGATGCACCTGTCTTTAAGAAACAAATTGATGAGCAGTTGGAAGCCCTCTGTAGAAGTCTGTTCACCCCATCTTGGCTATGATTTTACTGTGCCAAACCGTAGCTGACTGGCTCCGGATGGGAGGTACTTTTGGGGTGCCATTCAAACAAATGACATGCAACGCTCCTCCTGCAGTTTAATTGCACGGTAGGTGCGTTGTGTGGTACCTTGCATTAATCGCACGGAACTGTGCAAATTATGCATGGAGGTTGTGTAAATGGGATAAAAACGGGCGTTGGCATCCCTGCCCCCTTCTCGGTGTCGCACCTTCAGCCTTCCAGTGTCACAACACAGATTAGCAGATCTTCATTAAGCCCTCTTGGGTCTTCTGAACCAAGGTGTCATTGTCCCATTTCCTGTGGTAGAACAGTTTGTAGAACTACTCCATTCTGTTCACCGTTACGAAGTCCAAAGGGGGCTTCAGCCCCATCTTGGCTCTCAGAACTCTAATGTTTTATTCGAGCTCAGACATTCTGCATGCAATGCATCAGGTCTTTCATCACAAACGCAAACTCTGGAGTTAAATCTTAAAAATGAATAAAGTAACCTATTAACATAAATGTAGCTATTTGTGTATCACTCAGCTGTAGAGCCTCAAATCATCTCTGAATTCATGCGAACACTGTACTTCCCTCTGGAGGGTGGCTACTTTTGTTCTCTATGGTCCCTGTGTGTGTTGTAAAGTAGTCACTGTTCAAAGCTCACTTCCATGATGGACTATAACTAGAATACAAATTAGCTAACTAAATATGTGATTGTAGTCCATTTACAAAAAACACAGGGATCATGGGGAACAAAAGTAGCCACCCTCCAGAAGGAAGGACAGTGTCGCCATGAATGTAGAGATGATTTGGGGATCTACAGCTGAGTGATGCACAAGCTACATTTTTGTTAATAGTTAAGGTACGTGAAGGCATCTGTAATATTACTCCTGAGTTTAGTGTCACTTTAGGGACAAGTACCTACACATCTCAAATCTTCCAGCACATCTGCATTTCCATTCTTTGCTGTTGGGCCCCCAACACTACCAGTTTGTGGCCCTGCCCTTTGGCCTCTTGTGTGCACTTCTGGTGTTTAGGTGCTGGCCCTAATTTTAGCCCTACTGTTCTCTCATGGCATCCCCATTGTGGGTTACTTTAAAAGACCTCCAATTTGGATGTATTTAGATGATGACCACAGTGGTGTACATAAAGCATTGGGTGGTTAATGGGGGGGAGGGGGGGTGGACTTCTTGGACAACGGCAAGAGAAATAGACTGGATCCTGCTCTAGGCAGAAGATATCGTTCCCACCTTGTCTGCTGTGTACAGCCTGAAGGTGGCCATTCACTCTTCGGCTGGTTCTTGATAGTTGAAGGAGCTGGTAGGAAGCTCTTCAAACGAACAGAGCGGGCAGCCAGTCAGCTGCTGGCTATGTTGGGGTATTCTGACTAACACAAGTGAGTAAAGCTGGGTATACACTACTAAATTTTTTCCTTTCAGCATTTGGGCTGAACGGAAAAATCTAGCAGATTCCTTTATCCACGCTGAACAGTGTAGATAGAGAAATCTCCCACTGCGACTACCGGTATTGTATTTTAACAGTTTGCTCTGTCGTGATCTCATCAGAATCAGTCTGTTTGCCTTTCAATTTTCCTGCTTGGCCTTTTCAATTTTTCAGTCGAAGGATGTCAGGTGGGAGACCATAGGCAGGGGCACCCACTAAGCAAATTTGCACACCTGGATTGGGGGATTTTCTGCCATTCTTCTTTTCAAAATACTCTCAAGCCCTGTCAGGTTGTATGGGGAACGTCAGTGGACAGCCATTTTCAGGTCTCTCCAGAGATGTTCAATAGGGTTCAAGTCAGGACTCTGGCTTGGCCGCTCTAGGACATTCACAGAGTTGTCTTTAAGCCACTCCTCTGTTGTCGTGTCTATGTACTTTTAGGATCAATGCAATGGTGGAAGATGAACTTTCGGCCCAGTCTGAGGTCCTGAGCGCTGTAATACAGGTTTTTCATTGAGGATATCTCTGTACTTTGCTCCATTCAGCTTTCCCTCAACCCTGACCAGTCTCCCAGTCCTTGCTGCTGAAAAACACCCCCCACAGCATGATGCTGCCACCACCACCTGCTTCACTGTTGGAATGGTATTGGGCAGGTGATGAGCGGTGCCTGGTTTCCTCCAGACATACCATTTACAATTGAAGCCATACAGTTCAATCTTGGTTTTATCAGACCAGAGGATCTTGTACCTCATAGTCTGAGAGTCTGTCAGGTGCTTTTTTTTTTTGCAAACTCCAAGCTGGCTTTCATGTGTTTTGCATGAGGAGAGGCTTCCGTCTAGCCACTCTGCCATAAAGGCCAGATCGGTGGAGGGCTTCAGTGATGGTTGTCCTTCTGGAACTTTGTCCCATCTCCACACAGGATCTCTGGAGCTCCGTCAGAGTGGCGATCGGGTTCTTGGTCACCTTTCTTACGAAGGCCCCTCTCGCTCGATTGCTCAGTTTGGCTGGGCGACCAGCTCTTGGACGAGTCCTGGTTGTGCCAAACTTCTTCCTTTTTAGAATTATGGAGGCCACTGTGCTCTTGGGAACCTTCAGTGCAGCAAAACCTTTTTTTATAGTCTTTCTCCACATATGTGCCTTGCAATGATCTGGCCGCTGAGCTCTGCAGGCAGTTCCTTTTGACCTCATGCCTTTTGCTCGGATGCAGCATGCATTGTCAGCTGTGAGGCCTTCTATAGAGAGGTGTGTGCCTTTCCAAATCATGTCCAAACTATTTAATTTACCACAGGTGGACTCCAATCACGGTGTAGGAACAGCTCAGCAACGATCAAGAGAAATGGGAGGCACCTGAGCTACATTTCAAGTGTTGTCGCAAAGGGTCTGAATACATCTGCCAATGTGATATTTCAGTTTTTCCTTTTTAATAAATTAACAGACCTTTCTAAAATTCTGTTTTCACTTTGTCATTATGGGGAACTGACTGAAGATTAATGAGAAAAAAAAAATAATTTAAACTGTAGTATTGGGCTGCAACATAAAAGAATTGAAAAAATAAAGGGGGTCTGAATACTTTCTGAATGCACTGTATATTCCATATTTGCAGATAAAATTCTCTACATCAAAAATAACGCTGCGAAGTTTCTTTGCTGGAATAATTTCAAACAATACTTTCTTAACTACTTTAGTCCCAGGCACAGGTTCCAGTGACAGGTTCTTTAGCAATCGCAAACCTAATGTGATATTTTAGTTAGCAAATGTTCTTTTTTGTGGTAAATTTACATTTGCTTTGGAAGAAATTACAGGAAAATGCGTTTTTTTTTTTCCAACTTTTTATATTACTATTAAAAAGGAAATCATAATCTATGTACTCAAGTTTGCTACCTAATTGAAGTCCAATCTGTCCCGAAAACCGTGTATAGTAAGTTGGGGTAGACTACAAATACTAAAAGGTATGTGCAGAACCAAGACAATGCTGAAATGAAAAACAAAAGCTTTTAGATTCAAAGAAATGTAGCAATAAAAGGCCCGTGTGTGTGTAATATTTGAAGGCATTAACTTTGTCCAGTGAGGGGCATTTAGTTTTGCCATAGCTGTGAGTATTGAAAAGAACTACTACTTCACTATTGTTGGAATGCTGGAGTTTCTTGAACTGAAAGTGCTAAGTAAATGAGTATGTGAGGGCGTAAATTATGCTAGAACACTTGCTTGTGGAAAGTGTATCTGTAAATAGCCAGTCCTTCTTTTCAGACCAACTCATTTGTGATTAATCAAGGTAATTTCAGAATTCTTCACATTCTTGACATTATTAAAGCAAGCATTATACAGCAGGGGATGGAAACGTCATGGCTTTCTAGAGGGCTCCATCCTTTTGAAATCTGTAACGTGGCACCAGAGGCTGTCCAGTTAGTTCTTTTGTTTCTGAATTCCCATCTGAATGCCTTCTTTTGGCTTTGACTTCATTTTTGGCTTCCTATTACATTTCGTTATCCCCTGTAAGCTGCCTGTTAAGTTTTATTATTATTATTATACAGGATTTATATAGCGCCAATAGTTTGCACAGCGCTTTACAATATAAGGAAGACATTACAGTCACAATACAATTTAAGACAAGATGGTAAGGAGGGTAAGACATTGTCTTGTTTCATTATCCCCCTATCGCCTACATGTGCCATTATTGATTCCATAAGTTTGAAGGGGGGGATGACAAGCATCAATTTTTTTTAAAATTCTGATGTTCTTATTTTAATTTACCTTGAAATGGCGATCATCTGGCCCTCACGGGTACTTCTTTTCTTTGCTTGTTCATGCTGGATATGAATAGACGTTTTGTAAAAGCTTACATTTAGGACACTTTAAAAGTAAAGCTGTTTAGAATGTGTAGAGCCTTTTGTTAGCTGGTAAATGCGATTCAGACCTACAGTGTGGCATTATTGCAGATGATTATGACATTGTAAAGAATCTATTCAGTGGTACTTTCCTCACTTATTCCAAGGTCATTTTCTACTGGGAGAAGACAGTACAACAGGTGCAGAAATGCCCATGAAGAGAGACCTAAATGTTTCACATTGGTGGTTTTCAAACAAAACAAAAGAGATTTTTACGCTGAAAGAACAGAAACTCTTATTGATGTTTTATGGAAATTAAAGTGCTTCTTTGAAGCCTATCGTTTTTCCATCAAGTTCTGTTCTCACCTTCCATTTTTAGAGACATGACTCAATTTTTTAAATTGCCTATTTAGAGAAAGTACAGATGCCTTTGGCCAGTACTTCAGAATAACTAGAATTTACCTGGGTTAAGTAATGATCACATGTTGACGGATACTTGAAATTATACTTTCTAGATTCACTTGCAGTTTTTTTTTTTTTGCAAAAAGGCTATACAGGCTAAAAATATACAGCAATGGGCTGTATAAAATGTAGTGTCATTATAATTTAGTGGGGATGGTATCTGGTTCTACGGAATAAAGGCTGACACAGACTCTGGTAAAACCCTATTCTCCCCTTGGTGTGTATATACCAGATTCTGATTGAACTACAAAGAACCAGAGCTGGTAGGCATTGCAGTACAGGTGGTGTAACAACTGGTAAAGAAAACCGGGCCGTGTCTAAATTTATAAGTCCCAAAAATCCTTTAATTATATTGGATTTCACGTTTCACAGCCAAGATAGTGATATACCGCTGTGACAAATTGTGGCAATCCTGCATCCCTGGCCCCACTGGCAATCTGCAAAGCCATGCCCTGATAAGAGCAGGAGTTCCATAGGGTGCCATTCAGGTACTGTTAACTGCGTACTGGCTGTATTGTTGTGGTGGATTGGATACCTCTGCGGGACAAATCTGATGAAAGATGGGCTTATTTCTCCTCCCTAATCCATTCTCTCCCACAGCTGTATCCACCACTTTCATTAGGACCCAACCCTGCAGACTGCCAGCGGGACCAGTGAAGCAGGACTGCCATATTCACTTCTGCTTAGCATTGTCTTGCAATGCTAAGCAATATGTAATCAGTCTCATATCAACAGTATTGGGGGTGTTGCAACTAATTGAAAACGTGCTTTTCATTTCCAGTGTTATCTGCCCTCCTAGAGAGAGGCTTGGCTTCTTTGATTCATGTGTCATTATATAGTTCTTTTAATTGTTCGTTCTGCATATTGGGGTATATAGATATAGAATTTTGCAAATTTTTCACAATTTTTTTTTTTAATTTTTCATTGTAGCCAATGGTAATGATAACAAAAAGTTCAAAGGTGATGATAAAATGGAGAGCACACCATCCCGGGTGCTCCATATTCGAAAACTTCCTGGAGAGGTAACAGAAACCGAAGTCATTGCTCTGGGTTTGCCTTTTGGGAAAGTGACAAACATTCTGATGCTGAAAGGAAAGAATCAGGTATATTTGTTTTTCTTGTCTGTAAAAATTACATCCCTTACCTCCCCTTTTCTTCCCCTCATTTCATGATTTGCTTGTGATTTTTCTAAGTTAGCTAATGACCATTTTAGAGAATTGTATATTGTGAGGGGCATTTGTTCCTTTTTGTTGCCTTATAAATCGTTGTCCATGTCCAGGACTAGACCAATCTCAGGTTCCTAGACTGGACTAACTGGCACCCAGAGCATACATTAAATTATGGCACATTAAACTGTTGTGCAAACTTTTCCAAGAATATAAAGAAAAAAAATGTCTTAAGTTGTATCTATTGTTTTAGATTGTATTGTAATAAAGGGCAGAACTCTTGTGTTTTGGATTGCTTTTATTTTGCCTCTCTTTAAATGATGCAGACAGTGCCAACAAGCAAAGCAAATGTTAAATATTTATACTTGTGTAAGAGCTTGTCCACATCTGTATTTTCTCAAGCATTTTATTGCTTGGAAAAGTACATTTGTAGTCCTGTAATTCAACATGGATGCTGATGTAAATTTTTACACTGTGCATGACACTCATATGTACCTATATGTTGCATTATATCCAGCTCCCCAGAGTTTCCTACGCTTCCTCTCTTTGCTGTGGGACCCCTGCACTTTTAGATTGTGTTCTAGCTCTGGGGACATCCCCATTGTGGGTTATTTCCTGTGGAGAAAACAGTCAGCACAAATTATCTCAGACAATGTAGACTTGACTGTCGAGATGCTTTAGGTGGATTCTGAACCTTCAGTAACTGCTGGAACTGATAAGTGTCATCTGACCCGGATTTAGTCAATGGCAGTGGTGTACATTAACTTTCAGGCAGTAACTAGAAGTTGCGCTGAGGCAGGAGAGGTAGAATGGATCCTGTCCTGGACAGAACTTCACATTCCAGCCTTGTTTTCCTTTCACATTCTAGGTGTGCGCAATTCAGAGGCAGACTTCCTTAAATGACAATGTGCAGAGGTCTTCCAACACCTGTTCCTCAGCTGTGAGGTGCCAGATGTGGACATCCTGGCCTCCAGGTTCAACCGCAAACATGACAACTAAAAATAGAAGCAAGCAAAGAGTGCACCAATAGTATTATATATTTAATATGGCACAACATGAAATGCAATCATAGTAGGGAGGAAAATGACATGCTTATTTATAGCCCAGATCCATATCAGAAGTGTCCCTTAGCCATGGCCTGTGGCTGGAGGAAGCTGTAATAAATTAAGGCTATCAAGAGCGGCAACAGAAGCCCTGTACACACAGTGTTCAGCATGGCATCCATTATCTGCAAGGAGTTTGTTCATCCCACTTCTAGGTCACTGTGGGGTGGTTGTCAAGGCAACGTGTTTTGGGTCCAAACACCCCTTTGTCAAGTCAATCGTGGACATGTTTGTCTCCAGGTACGAAGATCCTCTAAAAGAAGCAGTGAATACACTGTAGGATCAGTACACCCTGATCTTTGCCTTTTGCTCTTGAAACTTCTTCCTTTGCTTATCAGGTTTGAGATGGAGGGATTTCTGGCAGACCCTCTGTCGGCTTTTCCAGTTCGTCCAGATCTTGTCTCAGGATCTGATTTAGCATACTGTTTCACAGTTGCTGGCTTTAATAACATGGCCTTTGGAGCCCAACAAAATAAAGAGAAGGTAGGGCAGCACAATAACATAGTGTACTGTTCTTGGGATACTAGATTACGTGAGTAATGTGCATTAATTGAATATGAAAAAAAACAAAGCCTTCTGGCAGACAGCTGCAGCATTGATACCAGTGTCTGTATCGGTGATGATACTTGGCATTTTCACGAGAACTACCAGATTTAAAATTGTGACCGGGCCCTGGTGCTCAACCACCGTCCTGAAATCATTAGTCTGTATTGTTTTAGAAAAACAGTCACATGACACTAAACAAAAATGTATCAGCAGCTGTATGTGTGAGTACTTGTAGAAGTATTGGTACTTGGTCTGGAAAAATTGATGTGTATATGTGTGTGTGTGTGTATATATATAATTAGGGATGTCCTGATACCACTTTTTTAAGTACTTCCCCTCATGTGCTTGCCGATACTTTTTCTTAAGCTCCTTTGCGGTATTCCTGAGTGTGGCTCGGGGTTCATTTTCAGTACCATAAGCAGTAACCCCGAGCCACACTCGGGATAACAGCGTAGCGTTACTTACCTTGCCCTTCGAGCCGCGCTGTGTCCTCCAGCCGATGCCGGCATCAGTCTTCCGGGTTCCGTCCCTTGCAAGGAATTTTAAAAGTAAAAATAATGGAAAGACAAAATTAAATAATCAGACCGCCAGGGAGGTTAAAGGGACAGGTGAATTTTAAATGATCTATAGTACAAATACATGTTATGCTGGAGGGTCTGCAGAGTCTGGCATAAACCAGACATAACAATCGTTAGGGAACAAGAACAACCATAAATGGGTCACTGAGCAACAGTATACCGAGCCGTTCATCCTAATCCGCCATTACTACAGCAAAATGACATTGCCACAGCAACAGCTCCAGACCACAACATACTAGGAGCAGTGAATACAAACCGCAGCAGTGAGTGCCTCACTTCTGTCTCCCGTATAGAATGACTGAGCACCTCCTTGTGGCACCTGCATGGAAAAACTACGCAGGTTGTTGG